AAACTTGCGACAAATGGTCTAATAAAATAAGCTTTATCAAACTTGCGACAAATAATAGAAGAATAGAAACTTTGTCAAACTTGTAAAAAATGCTAGAGGTAAAGACACTTGGCAAACCTTGTAAAAAATGGTACGGGTAAAGAAACCTGATAAAACTTACGACTAAAATGTACCAGTAATGAAACTTGAACAAACGACATTAAAAGGGACGTAAATAAATTATGTTTCTATATTTCGAGAGCAGTTATACATGAAATCATTTTGTATTTTCTCTAAAAATCTAAATTTATTATACAGTCAATGCGAGTTCAAAGCAGGAATGTGAAATAACATCGACAAACTAACAAACAAACACGAGTTCTACAGTTGTAAACCATGGGACACTTTTCCATAACGATAAACCAAAAATATTGTTTTCTGATCAAAAACTATTATGCACTCATGTACGCGTGTATTTATACAGTAAAACCTTAACTACAGACACTTACTTGAAGTAAAGAAATATAGAAAATGCTATGAGAGAGGCGATGAGTGAAATACCATACCCAGCGTAGTAAATGTATGCTGCCTCTTTAGCAATCCATAATCCCTGAAAACATAAAGAATAGAGTCAATATAGAGAATTAGAGCATTATAGCATTCATTCATGAACAAGTTTAAGAAAGCACGCTGAGAATTACACTCTAAACTTTCATTACAGTGGAATTAGGCGTAACTTAATGTTAGGAGGTCCGTTCAATATGACATTGGGAATACACACGAGCGGTGCAATATGCACTATATTTTGTCTTGAGAATCATAGCCATTGTTTTTCCTTTGATGTTGGACGGACCAGCATTTGCCGGAAAGTCTGAAAGCTTATGACGCTAAAAATCGGGTTTTGATACCCGTGGTGAGCAGAAAATAGGTATTCCATCGTATAGGTTTGTGCTTAAGAACGAACAAATAAACAAAAAATAATACACTTAGGGCAGTTCAATTAGAAATTTTCTAAATACGAAGACATATACGCTTAAATATTTCCATTAATACCAGTGATAAGATCGTACTAATGGAATAATGCATGGAAGTAAGTCACTTCGCTACATACTAGTCATGCAAAATGGTGTTAGGACTGTTATATAATCTATAATACAATATCGTCCATAATATTGTACTCATTGTTATTCTACCTGTCTATTGTAGATAATCTATGCATAAATTAAAAATTCAACAGAGCCTGATCTTGTGCATCTGGACATCTTTATTTAGGGAGACACATTAAATCACAAAGTGTATGTGAAAAAGCTTCAAAATCTACAAGATCTCGTGTGTCTCGTAACTAAAGAGTTTTAAAACTGAGCTAGGGATATTCTGAGTTGTTAAAAAGAAAATAATTCATTCGATCATCCTTTTGCAAGGAATATTTTTCTTACTCCTTTCACAAGGCACATTTCACATTACATTAGGTAGATTATTAGGGGTAACCCTGAATATTTAGTTTAATTCACGTACGTCTGTTTAGTTCATTACATTTTATAGGAAGAAAGCTGAATTCAACATTGTTGGAGAATGCGTTTATATTCTTAGTGTCTTTCTTGTTTTTTAATATTGTGCTGTTTGTTGTAAAAGGCACTGAACATTAAATACATTGATTTTATGTATCCTTACGAAGGTTTTATTTTCTCTCAGTAGTACTCGTTAAGGCAATATGCTATAGATTTATTTAAATATATTAGCTTGTTATTATAATTTTAATATGTATAACCTTAGTATCGTGTACTATGGAGCTAAAGCGATTGCTGCATGGCCCTACAAAACTTGAATAAAATGAAAGTTCTTAAAGTTTCTAAAAAACAAGGCATCCTTTAGTGTTTCTCTTTAGTCTGTGTTTGTTGAACAGGAAATAGGAAAATGCTTTTATGTACGACATTCCTTTTTTTTTTCGTATTTCATAGTAGATTTCGTCTTTTATAGAGGTCACCAGCATCAAGATCAAGGGCACGAGTTTCTACAGTGTTTGTACTCTATCAAAACTCTTTGAAATACTATTATTTGAAATGTATACATTGTTTATGTATTTTTTTATGGGTTTTGACATAATCTGAAACTCTTGGAGTTACTGATTTTAAGAATACAATCTTGAATTTAAATGTCTTGCGTTTAGAAAGTTTGTTGTGCATTGCACATCTGTAAGGCTGGAAAAACCAGCGCTGCGGGTTACTGTTGATTATATGAAACAATGTCAGTTTCCAGTAGTGTTAATATGATGCCGTTGGCTATATGAAACAATGGCCATCGTCAGTAGTGTAAGTATGATGTCATTGGTTCTATGAAGCAATGGTCATCGTCAGTAGTTTACGTATGATGCCATTGGTTCTATGAAGCAATGTCTATCGTCATTAGTTTAAGTGTGATGTCATTAGTTCTTTGAAACAATGCCCATCGCTGGTAATTTAAGTATGATGCCATTGGTTCTTTGAAACAATGCTCATCGTCAGTAGTGTAAGTATGATGTCACTGGATCAATGAAACAATGCTCATCGTCAGTAGTGTAAGTATGATGTCACTGGATCAATGAAACAATGCTCATCGTCAGTAGTGTAAGTATGATGTCACTGGATCAATGAAACAATGCTCATCGTCAGTAGTGTAAGTATGATGTCATTGGATCAATGAAACAATGCCCACCGTCAGTAGTTTAAGTATGGTGTTATTAGTTTTGTGAAACAATGCCCATCGTCAGTAGTGTATGTAAGTAAGAAGTAATGTCAACGATGTGATCAAGACCAACTCAGATGTCACCTCTACGAGTGTACAATGGTCGAAACCTCTAGAAAGGTCTTTTCAAAAAATATGATACGTTTTTTGAAAATTATATTACATTTAGTCACTTCTACTTCATTGTAACTTATAGTATTATTTTGCTTATTGTTAATTTTATGGAACAGAGTTTCAGATCTAAAAGTATCTAGAAGACAAAAGTAGTTATTTCTTTGAACTACAAATTGGAGGATATATATATATATACCCCATCGAGTAACAATCCACTCGTTAGAAGCTCATTCTAAAATAATTAATGGTTAGAAATACTTAAAACAGGACTTAATTCTCTAAATCAACAAACTAATTCAACATTCTTTTTCTTCATATTGTTATCTACAGATGCACTGTGCCAGCAATGAATGAACTAATACTTTATTCAGTTTGATCCAAAGAACTGGATTTTTACAAGATCGGAAAAGGTAAATAGCACAAAGCTGCCAGGTCACTGGATTAATATCTTAAGAATATTTGTTTGACTTATTGGATAAATGATGGTATTGAAGCATTAACTTAAACGATAGATAAAAGTGTATGAACGGAGATGTACAAGCATTGTCTTTTAAGTATAAATATTTGTATTAAATATATGTTTTCAAATTATCCTCTCTTTCATGGTAAATAGAATATATTTACTTTCTGGATTTTTTTTAATTTAATGAATCAAACAAAATGATATCTGCCCTGGATATGAACTGATATAAATCTTTAAGATTTCTATAGTAAAACCTTTAAAGTTTACTTTATTGATGTTGATCAATATATACAAACACGCTTTTCCAGAAAAGACAACGTTCTTCCTAAAAGTATAAATTATGACACTTGAAATTTACACACCTGAGTCTTGATCAAACAAGAGCTATAGGTTTAGCTAAGCAGGCTTGGGAGCCAAAGGATACTGACTTCCCGCTCAAAGTTGCACAATCTTTTTTATGCCGTATATTTTAATTCTTTCATTACTAGCTGGGAATTTTCAGTATTTTATTTGTTACTGTCAGGTTATGTTATTCTGTAGGATGGAGCAATCGGTAATGAAAACAATAAAATAATTAGAAGCGTTCTTAATTGTTCTTTTGCATTTTTTAATGCCAATATAAATATATAGACAACTTAGTGTGTATTTTGTTTTCATAGCATAATTATATAGATATTTATATATATTTTGGACTAAAATATCCTTCGTAGTTGAAGCTGTTCAAACATATTATTTAATAAACTGTAAATGCAATTACAAATTCATTTATCATAGCATCCAAATCTGGTAATTTATGCTAACAGTATCCAATACAAGTTTGTAGAAATATAATTTTTTCATGTTACGGGGTTTAGAAGTTTACAACTTTTCCAAAACTTTTTCGTTTACGTTTTAATTATTTTGGAACCTGTTTAGGGCAATATTAAATCGCCTTAGCATACTGACCACCATTAGTTTTAACTCCCATTAACTTAACCTCTTATTACATATAGTTATTACTTGATATATAGCAATTCTTTGTATAGTATGACGTTATGTCATTAGTTATATTACATTAGTTTGCTATTTACTTTCCTTGCCATATCTACGACTGTTATAACATTTCTTTCTAATTCTTATTATTATTATTGAACTTTCTCAAGGCTTATCGTGTTCATATTTTGGCTTTTACAGATGATTTAAGTCATTTAACTTTATTTATTGCTTCCTTGTTTTGTTTGTAGTTAAGCACAAAGCTTCACAATGGGTTATGCTCACCACGAGTATCGAAACCCGGTTTTTAGTATTATAAGCAATAGGATTTACAATTGTGGCACTGAGGGACTCCTGTTGACTGGTCCATTGATTTTATAAGGTGACAGAGGTTAGTTTTACAGGTAGTTATATTACACACGCATCACAGTATATTTAGCTCATTGTTTTCTTTATATTACATTTAACGTCATTATATTTTCATTAGAAACCAGTATCCTAACTACTTATTGTACGATTCAGGAATTCATTTAATTTCTTATTTATCATGTTCCATCTTCATAAACATTAGTTTCTGCATGTTCTGTTACTTGATTCTACACCGAAGCAGTAACATGTCGTGGTAATTTGTCTTCTAAAGTTACACTATCGGTGCTATTTATTGGGCTGCAATTGGTACACATCATAGAATATTTCTAAGGAGATCTTTATGAAGCTTTGCCTATACGTGGCTATAATGATATTATGTTGTTCAACGAACATTATATTTACGACTGGGCTGCAATTGGTACACATCATAGAATATTTCTAAGGAGATCTTTATGAAGCTTTGCCTATACGTGGCTATAATGATATTATGTTGTTCAACGAACATTATATTTACGACTGGGCTGCAATTGGTACACATCATAGAATATTTCTAAGGAGATCTTTATAAAGCTTTGCCTATACGTGGCTATAATGCTATTATGTTGTCCAACGAAAATTATATTTACGACAGTACTTGAAGCCAACAACTAGTGTTCGTGTTTTCCATAAGTAAGGTTTATACCATATTATTACTTTCATTAACATTATTGGCTGGAATCTTTAATGTATTTACTTACTTTTGTTTATTTTATCTAAGTACCCAAAGCTTTAAATAATTAAATATATTTACACCTTTTTTCCCTCCCCTACCCCAATTTGACTATTATTGCACATGTATCTTTTTTGTTAACTTTTACCCAGGTATCTTTCTAACATCATTCATGAAATAAACTCGTATTAAATATGATGATGTTATTTCCGGTGTTTGAGGTCACGTGCACTTTACAAACCACAATCCAAATCTATGGTCTGTTATAGCTAGCACGAGTTCCCCGAAGTCGTTATCTCTGCCTTCATCATTGTATACATAAAAACCATAACAAGCTAAAGACGACATCCTCTCTATAATTCAAACCCTATGGAAGACAACAGCAGTATATTACACACTTACGAAACGAAGATATATCTTATCATTAATAACAAAAATAAACGAACAAAATATATATGAAATCTACACGTCTAACAGTACATACAAGTGTTTTGTTTTGTTTAGTTGGCGGTTACCTGCGCTATCCTTCCTTAATTTTGAATTGAGAGTTTAAGAGGAAGTTAATTAGTCAATGCCACCCACCACAAACTCCTCAGCTAATCTTTATAAATGAATAGTTGGATGGGACGTCACATTATAACGCCTCCCACGTCTGAAAGGACTTGCATGTTGTGCAACAGGTTTCGATCTCGTAGCTCGCAGATTGCGAGATGAGCGCATTACTCACCTAGCCATGCCAGCCCCTATGTATTTATATAATAGAAAGTCTATTGGTTAATAAGTGTAGTACTGTATTTATGTAATAGGAAGCCTATTGGTTAATAAGTGTAGCACTGTATTTATGTAATAGGAAGCCTATTGGTTAATAAGTATAGCACTGTATTTATATAACAGAAAGTCTGTTGGTTAATAAGTGTAACACTGTATTTATATAATAGAAAGTCTATTGGTTAATACGTGTAGCGCTGTATTACGTACACGCACAAAATATACTGGACGGGCTTCTTGTTCCTGTAACTTTGCATATTTAGTGTTTGCTTTGATTGAAAAACTTTTTTGCTGGGAGTATTTCGTATACATCTTAAATACAGTTCAGCGAATGTAAAACTGCATGTGCTCACAAGTTAAATTTGAATTTTGTGAAAACATATTGAAATCAATTCGTTTCTGTGGTGTAATTGTGATTCTATCTTATTACAAAGAATCAGCACAATTTATTTCAGCACATTATTTTGCTAAATTACCTTACATGTTTTTAAAATATGTTTTATAACATACATAAACAAAGGCCTTTTATGATCAGATGGTGGAACAAATAATACGTGTGACTTTAGTTCGTGAGTATACAACTGTAACATTTATTAACGCATTTAGTAAAAACACGCCAAACTACATGCTTCTTACTTACTTAATATTACATCGGGCCCCCAGTGGCACAGCGGTATGTCTGCGGACTTACAACGCTAGATACCGGGTTTTGATACCCGTGGTGGGCAGAGCACAGATAGATCTTTGTATAGCTTTGTGCTTAACTTCTAACAAACAAAATATTACATCGGACACAAATGGTAACGTACCTGAATAAATTCGCCACCAAGCGTCAGTGGTTGACAAAGCGAATAATTCGCTCGTGGAGCCCACGTGCTGTTTTCTTGGCAGAATCGAGTAGCGTTCTCTGGAATGAAATAAAAAAAAATATTTTGCTTAATAAATTAAAATGAAATATTAATGGAGTCACGGTTGAAAACATTTACTTTTTTACATGCTACCCCGCGACTTTGGGATAATTGATAATTTCTGTTTATTTGTGTGTTTTTTCTTGTACTTAATGAATGAAGACCTTTTCTAAAACCATTCCGGTATTCTTCATGTTATTTCTGTTTTAAGTCTTATTAAAATGACTGCTGTCCAACATATTATGAGGAAGAGTTCAAAACCATTTTAAAGCATTGTTTACAATCTATTGGTAGGGGACATTCGGGAGGACAGCCAATGCGGTTTTCATCAATTAAGAAATTAATTAAGAATTAATGATATGAAAAACCTAAAGATTTTAAAATGAGCTCTGTTAATTATTAAAAAATTACTACTTCGTTAGTTTTAGAGCAAAGCCACATTGGACTACTTGCTGTGTCCATCGTGTGGAATCAAGCCCTGGATTTTAACGTAGAGTTACTGCTGTCCCACCGGGGACTTACTTCTAGTTAAAACAAAGATTGGACATTTGCATTTTTTAAATACAAAAAAAAAGAACACTTCTATAAGGTTGGATAAAATAGACCTATTCTAATTTATAACAAATGTAACTGAAAATGAATGATGCATTTAGCAATTACACTTAAATCAACATTTAAATGCTCGCAGCAAATACCAGGAAACCCATGTGCCATGTGCAAAGTGTGCATTATCTAGGATAATTGTATGAAAGAACGTGGGTATTAGTGTGGGTCAACGACACACATTGCAGTCAAAGAATATATATATATATATATATATATATATATATAGACGACTACATATGTAGTGTTGGGTGGGTAGAGAT